TTCAAAAATACCCCCATAACCCAAATTTTCACAACTTTTTTTCAAAATTGCTTTCAATTAAATCCCTAAAATAATTTTACCCATTATTATTATTATTATTATTGTTATTTCTATTTAATTAAATTAAACTAAATTAAAACTATATAAAAATTTATATATTCATATAAAAATTACAAAATAAATCATAATAAAATAATACCAATAAAAATAAAATAATTGGGGTGTTATAAATTCGGCCACGTGGGACGACCCAGTCAGCAGCCACGACGAACCAAAGCACGTCATATGACAAAACACGCTGATATCGGCACCACGCGAGAGGCCACACAGCTGATCCGCGTGCCCAGTGATTTGACAGCCCCGATTTAATCCCATGCGCGTGAACGGTCAGATTTAATCTCATCGAGCAGTCCAAATTCATTTTTCGAATATGATAGATACAACAGACTAGAGAGGGCCATGCGTACACGGATGGATGACTCAGATCGTTGCAGGATGAGTATTTAAATATTGCATCTCAGGGAACCCTAACCCTAGTTGCTCTTGCCCTCACCGGAGAAGAAGAACCAGCCATCGGAGAAGGAGATCAACTCTCGACCGCTGTCGCAGTGGAGTCACCGCCGATTGCTTAGAAAAGGTAAAAAAAAAATTTCCTGTTCAAAATTCGATTCCGAGTCTCCCTGTAGCCATATCGAAGCAAAAAGGACGGCGGGTGAGCCGAAAACTGTGGGCAAAGCTCGACGGAGCCGTCGTGGCCAAAATTCTAAAACCCCTCCGATAAGCCCTCTCTCGTTTCCCATTTCACATAAATTTTCAACCATTTTATTCACCGTCCTTTTTTGTGCAGATTATTCAAAGGAGAAAACCCTGCGAAGGAGAACCGGTGGAGCTGCCGCACCCAAAGACCCCTCGTCGGTAAGTTTGGTTTTTTTTTATTTTCTGGCCAACTGAGACCTCCTAACATATTTTTCCACAGGGATACGTATAAAATCGGCCAAAATTTATAAAAATCGACTGGGTCGAGGCGAACTGCCACCGTGGATGGCAGAGTTAGTGCCAGAGCACGGTGGTGGCGCCATCTGGAATCCTAAAATTGGCTGAAAAAGATTTTCAACACCAATTTTTTATTTTTTGGGATATTTTTAGATATGTGATGAGTATTTTGGTTCCCGTAGAAAAAATTTGGGATCCATCAGGAGACGTAGTAGATAGTACAGTGTTTTGAAATACCGATATGGGTAAGGATCCCTCACCCTATCTTCTGTTACGATAAATTGAGAGTTAATAATCGATAATTGTGTGTTTAATAAAAAATTAAAAAAAAATTTAAAAATATTACAGATCACTAGTGGAGTCGAAACTAATTAGTTCACATTTATCATGATTTCCTGTTTATTTCTCTGTACTGCCTAAATTGCTTACAATAATATTGTGCATGTTTAAATTGATAATTTTTATGGTCTTCTCTATTATCTGGTTTATTTGGTTCCTTCTGCATTGTTTATTTGGTTATCTGGTTACTCACTTATTGGTTATGATAAACTATATTGCTTGCTTAAATGCCGTTTAAATCAGTAAATATGAAATGAGATATTGGTATGCTTTAGTAGTTGTTTGAATGATAAGAATCTAAATAAATGAAAGTTTACTAGGCATC